TACATTTAAGTCTTTTATCCATTTTGAGTTTATTTTTGTGTATGGTGTGAGTTGGTGGTCTAGTTTCATCCTTTTGCATGTATCTCTCCAATTTTCCCAACACCATTTGTTGAAAAGACTGTCTTGACTCCATTGTATGTTCATGCCTCCTTTGTCAAATATTAATTGAGCATTATGGCTTGGGCCAATTTCTGGGTTCTCTGTTCTGTTCCATTGGTCTATATGTCTGTTCTTGTGCCAGTACCAGGCTGTTTTGAGAACAGTGGCTTTGTAATACAGCTTGAAATCTGGTATTGAGATCCCAACTACTTTGTTCTTTCTCAGGATTGCTGCAGCTATTCGGGGTCTTTTTTTATTCCAGATGAATTTTTGGAGAGTTCGTTCTAGGTCTGTGAAATATGCAGTTGGTATTTTAAGGGGGAGTGCGTTGAATCTATAGCTAGCGTTGGGTAGTATGGACATTTTAATGATGCTGATTCTATCAATCCATGAACATGGTATGTTCTTCCATCTCTTTATGTCTTCCTCCATCTCTTTTTTTCAGTGTCAGCATATAGGTCTTTTACCTCCTTAGTTAAGTTTATTCCTAGGTATCTTATTTTTTTTGGTGCAATGGTAAATGGAATTGCTTTTTTAGTCTCTCTTTCTGAATGTTCACTATTGGTGTATAAAAATGCCATAGGTTTTTTGGCATTAATTTTGTATCCTGCTACACTGCCAAATTCATTTATTAAGTCTAATAATTTTTTGATTGAGTCTTTAGGGTTTTTTATGTACAATATCATGTCATCTGTGAATAAGGACAGTTTTACTTCTTTTCTAAGTTGGATGCCTTTTATTTCTTCTTCTTGTCTAATCGCAATGGCTAATACTTCCAGCACTATGTCAAACAGGGGTGGTGAGAGTTGGCATCCCTGTCTTGTTCCTGTTCTTAGGGGAAATGATTTTAGTTTTTGCCCATTGAGTTTGATGTTGGCTGTGGGTTTCTCATATATGGCTTTTATTATGTTGAGGTATGATCCTTCTATTCCCACCTTGCTGCGAGTTTTTATCAAAAATGGGTGTTGGATTTTGTCAAATACTTTTTCTACATCAATTGATATGACTATGTGGTTTTTATCTCTCAATTTGTTTATGTGATGTATCACATTTATTGATTTGTGGATATTGTACCATCCTGGGATAAATCTTACTTGGTCGTGGTATATGATCTTTCTGATGTACCGCTGGATCTGATTTGCTAGAATTTTGTTGAGGATTTTGGCATCTATGTTCATGAGAGATATTGGCCTGTAATTCTCTTTCATTGTGTTGTCTTTATCTGGTTTTGGTATTAGGGTGATCCTGTTGCAGCAGTTCTCAATCTGTGGGTTGCGACCACTGAAAATATATCCTGCATATCAGATATTTACATGACGATTCATAACAGTACCAAAATTACAGTGATGAAGTAACAACAAAAATAATTTTGTGTTTGGGGGTCACCACAACATGAGGAACTGTATTAAAGGGTCGCGGCATTAGGAAGGTTGAGAACCACTATAGCATCTTTAAAACCAGATAAAACAGTCACTGGTTTAGGATGGCGAGTTGACCTTCCTCCTAGTGTCAATTTGACTTAATGGGCAAGAGCCTTCTACCCAGCCTAGTCAGCTTATTTATTTTTAGACTTTGACATGAAAGGGAAATAAACTATCTTTTTTTAGTCACTCTATTTTAAACTTTCTTTAGTAAACAAGCTTGCCTTTAACTCATATAGCAGGTGCCTTCATGTTATGAACAGCCCTATTGTCGTTACCATTTATAGAAAGGACATGGGAGCAGAGCTCATTCAGCTCACGAGGACTGGAGGTGAGGTCAGCCTCAAGCATCGTGGTGTCTATTGCCTCTTGTATTGATCATCAAGCTCACTTTTGACTCAGATTCTCTGGGGCAGTGGTCCTAATTTGTGCCCGCTCTGTGCTTATTGGGAATTCAAATGTGCTCGAGCTGAGTGAGGGGTAGGAAGCGCTTGAGGAATTGGAGCCCTGATGAAAGGAGGTGGAGAGGACAGCTTAAAAGTTGATTCCCTGGCCTGGGTGCACAGTGTGACCGCCAGGGCAAGAGACTGGGGCAAGAGCTAAGTAACTTGATTCTGCAAGCGAGACTGTGAAATACGAGGGCATTATTCTTGGCTCTGGTCTTTACTTTTAGTCCTGGCTGCTTTCAAAAGAGCAATGGAAATACCACCTCCCAGGAAGCCATTCCTAATCCCGGAGCGAGAACCAAGCTTCTGCATCTATTACAGTGTTTTGTACATCTTCCTGTCATGGACATTCACTTCATCTATTTTAAATTTATCAAATGCTATTTACTGTTATAGGCAACCTATTTTTGACCAACACAGAAACAATAAACCAATAAAACATCAAGCACATTAAGGGCAAAGGCCATGCTCTAATTATATTTTTACTTCCATTCTACCTGTCTTTACTGTAGTTCTCAGAACAATCTCTCATGAAGAGTGAGCGCATATTCAGTATCTATTGATTCATTAGGCCTACTGAGGCCCATGATAAACAAGTGCAGGAATTCAGGACCCATGCATGGAGCAGCGTCATAACAGGGGTGATAGACAGTTGAGGGGGGATGGACAAAAAGAGTTCTTAGGGTGTTGAGCAAATAGAGACCATTTCAAAGGACTCAGAACTTAAAAATGAACTAATCAAGATGTTAGTAGTTTATATGATGTAATTTGCATGGGTGTGTGTGAGCTAGAAAGTCCAAAATAATCCAAGATTAGGAGATTTGGACAATTTAGGGCAGTGGTTCTCAACCTTCCTAATGCCGCGACCCTTTAATAGAGTTCCTCCTGTTATGGTGACCCCCAATTTCATTGTGACAAATTGAACATAATTAAAGCATAGTGATTAATCACAAAAACAATATGTAATTATATATGTGTTTTCTGATGGTCATAGGCGACCCCTGTGAAAGGGTCGTACGGCCCCCAAAGGGTCGCGACCCACAGGTTGAGAACTGCTGATTTAGGGAGACATGGGAAAATAGACTGTTAAGAACCTGTTGCCATATGTTTGGTTTCATCGAGGCAACAAAGGCTGTACTTCCCTAAATGAGCAAGAGTGTCTGGAATTTGCCTCTGAAACTTTTCTCTCATTTCCCAGCAGTCACTGTAAACAACCTGAAGCTGGTGGGAGATTGCAGAGGAGATGACTTTAAAAGGAAAGAAGCCTGAACCCTCTGTAGAACTTTTTTTTTTTTTTAAATATATTTTATTGATTTTTACAGAGAGGAGGGAGAAGGATAGAGAGTTAGAAACATCGATGAGAGAGAAAAATTGACCAGCTGCCTCCTGCACACCCCCCACTGGGAATGTGTCCACAACCAAGGTACATGCCCTTGGCCGGAATCGAACCTGGGACCTTTCAGTCCACAGGCCAACGCTCTATCCACTGAGCCAAACCGGTCAGGGCCTCTGTAGAACTTTTAGGACAGTTAACTGCATACTCTCCGGTTGGAGACGCCTGGGTCAGTGTGGCCCCGTTGTCCTGTATCTGAGCTCAGGGAAGGATTTTCAGCAACTCGTTCATCTTGGGTTCTTTTTAAACTATGGGGTGAGTTGTGCACTTTCTTAAAAGCCCAGCTTTCTTCTCAAAGGACAGATCCTGAACAGACTGCAATCCTTCCATCCTTTCCCTCTTACCTGAGAAGATCTGAGCAAGAAGGAGGACAGCAACCATTAAGAGAAGGATTCTCATGGCACCAGGCATCCGTGGAGAGGCCGCACCCAGCGCTTCTAACAGGAACGTTAGAACAAGTGCTGAGGCTCTGAAAGGGCGAGATGTCAACTCGGGTTTGCAATGTTCCTGCAGAATTGACTGTTCTGAATGCCTCATTGAACAAGGTGTGGGCTGACAAGTCGGGCTTTACCTACGTCACGTTTATGGGAGAGGAAGGCCGGGACCCTGTCTTCCTGCCTGGAACGCTCGCCTACGTCTCTGCCCAGGCAGCTCCTGCTTCTCCCTCAAGCCCCATCTCAAGGTCCACCACCTCCATGAGACCTACAACCACCACTGCTCTCCTTCCTACCCAAGATTTTACCTGCACTGTACCCTCTGTGCTTTAAGGGCAAACACAGCACTGGTTAAAATAAAGGGGGCTCGCCAGAGCTCGGCGGGGTCAGCGCAGGTTCAGGCTGGCCCTGGCCATGCCAATTGCATTTTCTGGTTTGACAAGAGCCTCACAGACACATCACAGATAAGCAAGGTACTGGTTTTCTAAGCTTTCTGGGGGTATCCTGGCAAGTTTTAGTTTTTTCCTCCTTTTTCTAAATGTCAAGAGAGTCTTGGTTCTCATTCGATTTGAATAGCATTTGTCACTTTGCTATGCAATCTAGCATGCTATGTTTATATGCTCTTAAATACTAACTTCCAAAAAACTCACAGGCTCATCTCTGGAGGCCGTTTTTGTTGAGGGTAGCTGGAATTTTAGACCCTTGTGATAGCTAAGACTCCCTCGGCTTGTGGAAGTTGCCGTAGTGCTCCCTGACATTTCCTGAGCACGCGTGTCTGCCCCGCGCCCAGTCCTATGGCTCCAGAGCAGCGCTGCTCCTCAGCGCAGTGGCTGCCGATGCCCGCCTGCCGGGATGTTCTCGCTCTGACCGCACGTGGACAGCCGGTCTGATGGCACTGGTTTTCTGTATCACAAATGTGGGCGCGCCAGTATCAGGAATTCAGTGTTTGTCTTATTGGAACTTCTCACCATCCTTTTGCCGGCAAACCACATTTGAAATCTATCTGCATCTCTGTAAAGTGTCAGAATTATAGTTTGGCTACATAACAGGTTTTATGAACACCTTCGGGGCTATAATCATTTAGAACTCACCAGAGAAGCCATCTGTTCTGGGTTTTACCGGTACTGTGTGAGATTTTTTCTTATTGCCGGCTCATTCTCTACGTGTCAATGGTCTACCCAGATTTTTTGTTTATTTTCCAGTCCATTTTGGCGTTTATGTCGAAGGGTCCCCAATTCCGCCGTCCTGACGTTGCCTTTTTGGAATATTGGTTTTAAGCTGTTTCTCAAGAAACAGTCTCATAACGAACTTTTGGCCCTCCGCACCTCCCTGCCCAGGATGTTCAGACAGAAACACCTGCTTCCGAGAGAGAACCTTAAGTCACCCTACCTACGTCGGGGAGTGAGATGGAAATGGGGCTTCGGGCCATTAAGAAGGAATTGACCCAAGTAAAACAAAAAGTGGATTATCGACTGGAAAGAATTGAAAAGAACAGAGCCAACAAGCAGACTTGTCCTTCTCAGCCCCAGTGGAGATGGAGAATGAGACAGGAGAGGGGCAGGCCACCAGCTCCCCGAAGAAAGATGAGTCTGACATGAAGACGGAGTCCGAGGGGGTGCGGAGGACTCTGCTGAGGAGGGGGACCTACCGGATGATGATGATGATGATGATGATGATGATGATGATGAAGATGGGGGGTGACCAGCTGGAGTTGATCAAGGATGATGGAAAAGGCTGAGGAAGGAGAGGATGACAGAGGCAGCGCCAACTCAAGGATGACTCTTAAGCACATAGTGGGGTTTAGAAATGTTGTCCCACTATTTCTTGATCTAGGCGCTTGTCTGAGATCAAAGTTTTCACCAGATCCTCGCCCTAGTGCCTTCAGCACATGCTCACTGTTCTCCCCGTGTCCATTGACTCATATTGCCCTGCGCCTAGTCCCATGTTCACTTCCTTTGATGCTCCTAGTAGTTAAGTCTTAACCCTGTAATTTTTGCTTTTAATTTTGATACCTCTTTATGACTTAACAATAAAAAGGATGCATGGTTCTTATCAACTGTCTCCAGAACAATCTCCTGTTGTGCAGGGAGCACAGTTCTTTTCATTCATATTGTGAGTTCAGTAGTTGCTTCCCTAACTGCAAAGGCAATTGCATTGGTTGAGTAGCACCTGAGAGCAGCTTTGAGTTAGAGGTATGTGTTTTGTGCCCCATGTAAGAGTGCTCAGCACAAAGGTAACAATGTATGTTTGTGAATAGGAGTTGGCTTGTCAAATGCATCCTCTAGGTAAATAATTAGTGTAATAGTTTTAAGATTTGTTGTCTAACACTGATACTGTGGGTGATTTTTGTGAACAACCTGATGTTTGGGACCTTTTTTTCCCCTCAAAATAAACACGTCCTTATTAAACTAGGAAAAAAAAATGTTACCATACAATTGTCTGTAGTATTCCCTGATAATACGTTGTGGGTGTTTCTAGGATTTAAAAAAATGTTTTATTAATGGATAGTTGGCATATAATAGGATATAAGTTTCAAGTGTATAACATCGTGATTCAGCATTTATCTGATCCCTTCTGATGTGATTACCACATTCAGTCTAGTAATCAGCTGTCACTATGAAAGTTATCACAAGATTACTGACCATATTGATTTATTCTTCATAGATTCAAGTACTATGTTTTTCTTCTTTTCATTCTTCTCCATATATAATATATATTTGTAATCTAAATCTATACTTATAAGTACATAGTATATAAATATAGGAATAATATATTTAGAATATAAAATAACAAAAATTATATAATGTATAAATTTTCAACAAAACTACAGACTTTCTTCAGATTTCACTAGTTTTCCCACTCGTGTCCTCATTCTGCGCCTGGATCCCACTTTCCATGGTTGTCACATCTTCTGAGTCTCCTCAGGTCTGTGACAGTTTCTCAGAGGTTTTCCTTTAAATATGTTTTTATGTTTTATTTTTTTGAGGTAGAGAGAGGAAGGGAGGGGAGAAGGAGAGACATCAATGTGAGAGAAAAACATCAACTACTTGCCTCCTGTATGTACCCCAACCAGAAATCAAACCCGCGACCTGGGTATGTGCCCTGACCAGGAATCAAACCAACAACCTTCTGGCAATGATGCTCAACCAACTGAATCACACCAGCCAGAGCAACTTTCTTCATTTTGCATGACTAATAATTTCAAGGAGTACTGGTCAGGTATTTTGCAGGTTATCTATCCCTCCATTGGGTTTGTCTGATGTTTTTCTCAGGTGAGACTGGTATTATGAGTTTTTAAGATCACAGTGGTGGCGTTCTCATCATATCCTGATAATACTTTTATTTTGGTAAGAACAGTAGTCATGTTCTCTCTCTCTCTCTCGTTTCTGATTTTAGTGATTTCGGTATTCTTATTTGCTTTGTTCTTGGTTAGTCTAGCTACAAGTTTGCCTATCTTGTTGATCATTTCAAAACAACACACCGACTTTTGGTTCTGTTGACTTACTTTATCATTTTCTTAGTCTCTATTTCATTAATTTCTACTCTAATCTTTATTATTTCCTTTCTTCTGCTTGCTTTGGCTTTATTTATTTATTTATTTATTTTTGCTTTGTGTTTAGTTGGCTCTTAATTTGCAGCTTCTAAAGTTCATTGATTTGAGGTTTTTTCATACAGGCATTTGCGACTATAACATTTCCCCTAAGCATTGGTTTGGTTGCATCCCATACGTTTTGGGATTTACTTTTTTGTTTTCATTCATCTTGAACTATTTTCTATTTCTCTTGTGATTTCTCCTTTGACTATTTATTGCAAGGGGGTGGTTTAATCACCACACATTTGTGACTTTTCCAAATCCCCTTCTTTTATTCCCTTGTGGTTGGAGAACGAATTTTCAATTCTTTTAAACTTATTTTGGCCTAACATATGGCCCATCCTGGAGAAATTTCATGTAAACTTGATTGAGAAGAATATGTACTTCGCTATTGTGTGGAGTATACTGTGAGGTCTAATCGGTTTACACTGTTGTTCAAATTTCATTATCCCTTACTGATCTTCTTTCTAGTTGTTTTATCCATTATTGAAAGTCGGAGATTGACGTCTCCTACTATTGTTGTTGAATTATCTATTTTTCCCTCTAATTCTGTCAGTTTTCACTTCACATATGTTAAGGTTCTGTTATTAGGGGCATATCTATATACTAGAGGCCCAGAGCACAAACTCATGCATGGGGGCCTCCCTTCCCTGGCTGCCAGCTGCCAGCGGGGGCCTTCCTTCATGCCACACTGCCCCCTGGTGGTCAGCACATGTCATAGCAAGCAATCGAACTCCTGAGGGGACACTTTGCATATTAGGCTTTTATATATCCTACTAGAGGCCCGGTGCACAAAAATTTGTGCACCCGGGGGGGAGAGGGGGTGCCTCAGCCCAACCTGTGCCCTCTCGC